TGTTTTAGGAGAGAGAACCGCGTTGAGCAAAGGCTGGAGCAAAAACTTGCAGATGGCAGGAGTGTTTGCAGGTGGGGGAAGAATTGGGGCTCATTTTCCTGCTCTGGCAGCACAAGTCTGGCCTCCTGCCCTGCAGTCCTTCCACGCAGCTCTGGAGATGTTGCCCGGTCCTTAGGGCCTGAGCAGTGTAGGCACTGGCAGCGCTGCAGCCTGCATCTCTATCCGGGCTGTCAGGACACAAGCAACGATTGCCAGCCAGCCTCCCGAGGAGCGATTTGTGCTGGGTGCAGCAGGCATTCTTAGGAAAGAACCACCATCTGCTGGAGAAGAGGATGAGCCCGTCTAACTCTCTTCGTTTATGTTTTAATTAAGGCTGGAGCAGCAGCCTCCAGAGATGAGAGAGGAATCCCAGCTCAGCCGGGCAGTTTACTCTGTTTGTGTTTCATCATGCCAGTGTTCATTCAGCCGCTCACGTGGTTCAGGTCGAGCACGTGCTCAGGTGTTTTGCTGCAGTGACCTCCCGGTGCCACGTCGCCTCCCCGTGTAGTGGCTGATAACCCCAGCAAATCCTTGCTCCGGGACCTGGATGCCCTGTAAGCCCCAGGCTTTGAAACAGCAGCGATAAGAGCAAAGAATCACAGACCTTGTCCATCATAAATGGATTTGTGGCTGCAGATCTCAGGGATGATTTCTGCCATTCAGGAAACGAGCGGGTTGGCAGAGCGTTCGGCTCGCAAAATGCAGGCTGCCTGCAAGCACCTGGAGTGATCTCTCAGCAGAAAATGAACCCCGTCCGTCAGCAGGGCTCGCTCCCTGGCCTGTGTTCAAGCATCAGCCCTCAGCCCAAACCTACCGGGGATGGAGCATCTGCAGCAGGGGATGGTTGTGGGGTGCTGTCTGTCGGGGTGGATCTGTCTCAGATCCCCACCGACTGCCTTACAGACGCTGCCATGTTGACAGCAGCAGCGATGCTGAAAGCTGGGAGGGCTCCAAGGCTGCACAGAGCAGCTCTGTCAAGTCCAATCCTTTCTGCCTCCCTGCTCCACGCTTAACAGGATCCTCTCCAAAGCACACGCCGAGGCACCAACGCGTTTCCTAGCGTGTAACTGCTCCTGGGCACGGGAGCGTTTCCTCTGAGAACAATTATGGAATGGCAGTAAAGTGCATTACAGGGGAAATCCTTTGATTTCTCTCTTGCACAGTGCCCCTCTCAGCCTGGAGCCTCCCACACTGCTAAGCTGTTGGTTTTGCATCCTACCTGCCTGGAGGGATCGAGGAGGGAGCCGGAGCACGCCGGCCGGGGCCCGGAGCCATCTCCCACTAGAGGCATCTGCTCGGCTGCAGCCATCCCAACACGTGTCCAGCAGACACTTTTACCACTGACACGGGGGAGAGCTGAAATAGCTGCCATCCTCTTGAGCTAAGCCGGAGACAGAACAACGGAGCACGCTTTATGTAACTCGTTTTTATTTTTAAACAGCCTTTTATTTTCAAGGGGAACTCAACTCAGTGGGTGTCTGCTATCTCCTGCCCTGCCTCGTTACTGCAGAAGTGGCTTCTTTTGTCAGTACCCCCTCCTATCCAGGATATCAGCGGTGTGGATTCCTCACCTGCCCCTCAAACTCAAGCTCTCCTTGTTTGACCCTTCAGGATTTCCTGCCTGCCAGGGCTGATGTGGAGAATGATTTGAGGCTTAAGGTGAACAGAAAAAATAACCCTTGAAAATTTTTCTCTTTGTGTGTTTCCTGATGCTACGGGAGCTTCTTTTTGGAAGGGGAAGCTGCTCTTGTGGTTCTTCTAATAAGATAGTCTGTGATTTGTCTTGCAGCTTAGGAAGCTGTTGAGATGAGCTGTAATTCTCTTTCGCCCAGGCACTCACCTTGTACTGGACCAAGTGTGTCTTACCCCGGACCCTAAAACAGGCAGGCAGCCTGACGGTGAGCAGAGCGTTGCGTGTTAGCTGCCAGTTACTAACTACTTTTAACATTAACAGCTTTCATTGTAAACAGTGGTGGAAACAGCACACTCTGGAGGCAAATTAATTACCGATTTTGGCTCACATAGGTACCAGTCTGGCTTTTGGACAAATTTGGAATCCCTGGGTGTCAGAGACCAAACAATGCTTCATCTCACAAGTAGCTTTGTAGGATTTTCACTCCATGGTAAGAGCAGTTGTTCCTTCCAGTCCTCCAGCAAGAAATAAAACAAAACAACAAAAAAAAGACACATGCAAAAAGAAGCCTAACAAAACCAAAGCTCCCTTGGGATGCAGCAGAAGTCCACCAAGGCTGAGGCTTGTGGTTGAACGTGCAGATCACCTGCGTTCCTGAGGCAGTGAGTGCTGCAGGGAAGTGGCTACCCCAAATACTTGGTCAGTCACAGATCCGTCATCACAGAGTTCTTTCTAGAGAGGTCGCAGAAGCACCAGAATCTTATGTAAACCAACTAAAAAATGAACTCAGCTATGGGGATGTAGCTATTAAATGTCACAGCAGGCTGAAGAAATACATTCTCGATGCCAGGCTAAAACCACTTGGACTCGCAAGCCATGAAGCACACCCCAAAACAAGCTCCTTGCCTCACAGTGCCAGCAGAGAGAGAGATGCTGGCACAGGCCCAGGGAGGGTCACAAAGTAAGAGCAAACACAGTCCCGAAGAAGTTCAATGCCTTGTGGCATGGATCGCTGTAAAGATGACGAGGCCTTGAAGTCAGAAACGAGGAGTGGAAGCGACAGGCCCAGCATGACAGCTGGTTAAGCATGAAATAATGGAATCCCAGAGAGGCACACAGCCCCCCGAGGAAATACAACAAGAGTGAGAAGACAGAGAGTAGTCTGCTTAAATGTCAAGGTGAAGGAGTTTATTCAAGGCAAGCCCACCGGAGATGTCAGCCAAGCAAATAAGGTAGTCAGCGTAGCTGCCTTCTGATGTTGGAGCCCCAAAGTGAGAAGAGAGGTCAGCTGCCAGCCCTGGGGAGCGTTATCCTCCCTGGGGGGGCAGAAACCATGCAGCTACCAGCTGGGCTGGCTGGGTATCGCTGATGTTTGGGCAGCTGTACTGGAAGGAGCGGATGGCTTCAGGCTATGCAGCTCTAGCAGTTGGGTGGCAGAAGCTGGGACCAAGTGAAACCAGTGAAGGTCTTTGGTCAGGAAGAAGTTTTGGGGTAAAAAGTGCTCAAATGATGATCAGTAGGGGCATGGATAAAATACATATAATAGGCAGGGAGGCATTTTAAATAACAGGGTGAAAAGGACCCTGGAGGTGATGTTCTTGTCCAGGGAACTGGCTGGCAAATTCCCTTCCACCCTGTCCAGCGACAGGCAACGGTTTCAGTGCCGCATGTGTTTGTGTCTGCTGTTAGCAGGTCACGAGGAAACTGCTTTAAGGTATTTTTTAGAGATTTAAAATTTTGGATGGGATTCAAACCTAATATCAAAATGAGTTATTTTATTAAAAGGTTTTAAATAGAAGGTAGAGAATAGTCAGAAACATGAGGGCCATTTTAGGAGGAATTTGCTATAAACCTCTTCTATCTCACAGAAGCTTTCTAAAATATTACCCTGTAAAATACAATTCTCTTTATCTGCAATTTAATTACATTTCCCATAGTGCCTGTGTCAACACAACTCACTCACTTTGTTCTCTGTTAACTCCATCCCACCCCAGGAAAATAAAAGAAAAATGGTGTTTTGCAGAGCTGTTTGTGGGTTGCTCCAGGACCTCACCGAGCTCATGAAAAGGGGGTGCTGACAGCCTGGAGAAATAGGGACTGGGGTCTCTGCCCATACAGGTGGTGGCTGTGAGACAGCAATGTGTAAAACTGGAGGACAACAAGCAGGAGCCCTCGTTCCTTGGCCTCTTCCACCCCACTGATGTCCTGGAGGTGCTGCAGCCAGTGTCACTTGTGACATCCTGCAGTTGCCCTGGGAGTGTGGAAGGGCATTAAAACAGAAATGACATGCTCAGAGTTGAACCCTTGGTGATGTTGTATTAAATTTGGCTTGGGTTTGGGGCAAGGGCTGAAGCTGATTGTTATTTAACTTGAACAAACCAGCCTGTTGTACCAGAGGCATGGGACGGACCTCAACCTTTGACCTTGGCTGAGAGGATGTTGTATCAGCCGCTGCGTTTTTATTTTTTTATTTTTAGATGTTTGTCTCCTCAGAACCAGAGACGTGATTAACCCAAGTCAGGATGACCTGGGCTTTGCGATGGGAGGGTGAGAGCAAGGCGATTGTTGTTCCCTTGCCAGGTTGAGCTGTGAAGGGGGGGATCCGGGTCGGAGAGCTGGGATCACTCCTGCAGCACTGCTAATCCCCGTGCTTTCAGGGAGTTCTGCAGGACTCCTTCCCCAGGGATGTTGCTGGTGATAATGTGCCATCTCTACACATGTTTCCCGTCAGTAGCACAAGGATGTCAGGCCCAGCACCGCTTTAGCAGAGGAGAGGTGGGTGACTACGGGTTTCTAGGAAAAAGACAGGAGAATAAGGAGAAAAATAGGGACTGGTGTAACTGCAGACACTTTTTTTTTTTTCTTTTTTTTTTTTTTTCACTAATGCAGTGGCCAGCTCCAGCAGGATCATAAAGAGCATAGCACAGCCCCTGTGTTGGGGTTCTGGTGGCTGAGCCAAGCCCCGATTTGGGGTCGTGCTGCTGCCCCACCACGTGTGCTGGGGGCTGGGTTCCCATGAAAGTCCCACTGGGGTGCACTGGGGACCCCGTATACATCCTCTGCTGGATGAGGATGGGGGTATGAGGGTGCAGGAGAGGAGAGGGAATGGGAATGGGAGCTTGTGCTGTGGGGTGAGCAAACCACGGGAGGTCCAAGCCAAGGCAGGGAGCCAGTAGGGCTGCACACATCAGGAGAGATGAGGGGTCGGTCGCATCCCTGATGAGCCAGGTGGGTTTCTTTTTCTCATGCCCTGCAGCAGGGCTCTCCCTTGCCCGTTAACGATTTCATTTGACCCTGCTGACACCGGGGCTCTTTAATTAAACTCCCCAGTCCCTCCTGTCCTTAGCGACTCCTGCCGCTCTGCGATCAGCCTCCCCTAAACCTCAGAGGAGCTGCTTAAAGCAGGCGGCTGCTCTCTTCCAACATACCGAGGGTGACAACGGCGAGAGCGTTCGCAGGCATCCCCCCACCCACCCCCAGATGCTCCCAGCCGGTGCTTGGCACCCGCCACCCGTGCCGAGCTGTCGCCCATCTCCAGGAACCGGGGAGATTTGTGGCCAGGTCAGCGGGGCGGCGGGCGAGGAGGGATGCAGAGCAACGTGCTGATCAGGTGGGCTCCTCGGCAGCTCCGCCAGCGAGCGATGCGAGTCGGCAACGCTGCAGAGCCAAGCCCCAGCCTGCCGGCTGAGGCTGCTGGATGTGACACGGAGCTGTGCTCCCAGCCCTGCTGCTGCTGCTGCTGCTGCTGCCCGGGGAGAGCTGGGGAGGGGAGGTGTGTCGGAGTGTGACTTTCACCCCGTGCTGGGGGTTGTCTCTGAAGAGGCTGCTCTGTTCTCTCCCCAGAGCCTCCGCGACCACAGCGTTGGCGAAGACCCACGGGCAGCGAGGACAGGTCAACGGCAGTGAGTAGCTTTTCGCTGGGTCTGGCTGGCTGCAGTGCCTCCCTGCTCGGGTTTAGCTGGCTTTCTCTGCATGTGAATGGATGGACTTAATCTCTCCAAGCCCCTTGGGGGTGGTTGTTGTGGTGGTTTTGTTTTTTTTCTTTTTTTTTTTTTCTTTTTTTGTGCTGCTAATTTTTTCCATCGGGATGGCTGCTTTATCTCTGCTCAGGTGATCTCCTGGAGGGGGCCGATAATTTGATTGTCCTAATTGCACCCCCTTCCTTTGTCTCCTAAGGAGAAACCCCAAAGCACCTCCATGGTGAGGCTGGCAATTCCCCTTGACCCAGGGTCCTTTCGTAGGAGGGGGAGGTAGGGCAAGTGATGGAGTGTGGGGTAAAAACCCCCTCGCTGTGGACCCCCACTGGGATGCCTTTACCACATGCTACAGATTATATTTATAAAGCCATAATTGACCAGCTTTATTTGCAATCAAGGGAAATATCCGTGGGCACGTCAGCCCTGCCGTGCGGCTGCCTTTGGGGGAAATGTAGGTCTCGGCATCCCTGAAGTCAGGCAGACTTCGGGAGCACGGGGAAGTTGGGTGCCGCTCAGCTCCGCGGGTTGTGCTGTGTGGGCTGGCGAGCGGGTGGGAGCGGAGGCGAGCAGAAAGCTGTTTCATAACAGGACCCCAAAAAGCACGCTGCTCGAGGAGACGGTGAGAGAGAGAGGGAGAGGGCACCCGGCGGGCACCCAGCTCCGCTCCCAGCTGTCACTTCGGGGTGATGGGGGGGAAGAGGGGCTGGGGGACTCCGGGAGATCCTGTGCTGCGGCCCCGCATGTGGGTGAGACTGTTAACGAGGAAATTTAAAGGGGCTTAAGGAATTACCAAGGATTGATTTCAGTTAAAGCGCATCGAAGCAGCCGGTCAGGGCAGGGATTAAGGAAATGCACTCACTGGCATGTAGCGCAATCCCGGTTCCATTAATTTAGTTGGGGAGAGGCTTTGTGCGTGTTTAATGTAATCAGGTTTTAAAAGGGATGTTGTGTTGGGCAGCCCGAGCTTTGGGATCTCCTCGGGCCCAAGCGGCACCGGGTCCTGGCTCCTTTGCACACAGCCTCTGCTCTCACCAGCTCCTTTGCCGCTTCCTCTCAGTTGTTCCCTCTGGGCAGGAGGACACGGAGGTTATCTGGAGCTCGGCCTTGTCCTGGCAAGCAGGAAACCTTTGCACTTTGCTCGCTATACAGGCAGCTCGCTCCTGCTCTCTGTCCCATCGGTTTCCCGGCTGGTGTGGCCCTCGCCTTCGCTCCCTGATGCGAGATTTGTTTGACCAGCGGGCTGTGTGCCAAGGCTCCCAGGGCCCCTGCCAGCCCTCTGTCCCTTCATCCTCCCCTCCCTCCCTCCCCGTTGCAGACCGTGTGTCCCCTTTGTGACTTCCCACGGGCTGCCACCGCGGGCAGATGCTTTTTTGGGATGTTTTTGTGTGAGTGCTTGAGCCTGTGACGGTGCAAGGACCAGCAGCATCCGCAGCCGCGTGAAGTCCTCCTCTTGTTTTATTTGCAGTGCCAGCTTTGCCGTGATGGCCCATACCATCAGCCATGACCTGGAGGGACAGGGACGAGAGGTAGTTTGGTCTTCTTAGCGAGGTCAGTCCGAAGCCCTGCCTGTTGGGGAGAGACCTTCAGAGGTGTTGAATGATGAGCGCGATAATGCCGAGTCCTGCTGCTCCGTGGTGAGCTGTGACGCCAAGCTCAAGTCGCTTTAGACCTGAAGCTGGACTTAACCCGCTGTCCTGGTTTTAGGAGGAAATGCTGTCTCTTCTCTGTGATCATCTCTCAACTCTGAACGTCTTCCACTGAAAAATCGACCTGCCACGCTAGGAAGCAAGGATCAAATGGGTTGAGAACAACTGGCCCTCCTTTTTTTTGCAGAGGATTCTTTGGTATATTTTTAAGTGCCGGGACATGAAAGAGTAAATATCCCTCCTCCCCGCACTCCTATCTCCTGCAAACAGCCCTGACTGCTCTCCAAGCCAGCCAGTTAAGGGGTTAACTATAACTGGATGCCTGCATGGCTGCCTTACTGATCCCACGGAGGTAACTGAACAGACACGCTGCATTCCTCACCCCTGCCCATCCTGTCGCTGTCTGCCTCGTCCAGCGAGCCTTTGGGCTCGCTGTACCATCCCCTCTTCCCTCCTTCCCTTGCCTCTCCACCTCCCGCAGCCCCAGATTTTCCCTCTCTTTCTCCTGTGTCCTGTCTTGGGAGCCGTGGCCCAGGGATCGGTGCTCCGTGAGAGACGAGCTCCTTGCTTGTGGCGCAGCATCCCTGCCTCCTGTTCGCTGTGATTCCCTGCTGCAGTCCCTTGATCTCAGGCATCAGAGAGAAATCTGAGCAGCACTGCGGTAATGCGTGTCACACCTCTTGCTGAGAAATTCCTGAGCTGGCTCGAACAAACAGCTGAGGGAGGATAAAGGTTGGGGGCAGGAGGGATCAGAAAGGTACCAGGAGGATCCCAGAGCGGGCTCGGTGTCGGTTTGAGCCAGCAGGTCCAGCAGGCTCAGCTAGGAATGCACACTTTGCACACAGTGTGTCTGCCCTGATGCTGGAAGTTTAGGCAGTGCAGCATCCTGAGCCCACCGGTCGTGGGTCTGCATTTTGGGGCTGTGCAACAATTCCTGCCGCTAAAAATCTCCAGGTTTTTGTGCTCGGCAAATTCCGTGAGTTGCCTGTGCTGTGCCAGGGAGACACTCCTTGCATTTAATTAACATTTAATTTGCTTTAAGATTACATTAAAATGTGCAATAATAGAAACTCTCTGAAGGGCGGGGGGAGAAGGGGGAACCAGGCGTGCTACAGATTGGCTCGGTTGCTGGTGCTGAAGTGCTCTGCAAGGGCTGCATACGGAAGGGGAAAAAATCCTGTGCTTCCCTCTGCAGCCACACACAGTGCGTGGCTTCTGTTTGGCAGCAGGGCTCAGCCAAGGGCTTCCTCTGGCTCAGAAGTGGGTGCAGCAGCTGAGAAGTGCAGGCTCAGTGGCTGAACTGTCCTCCTGTGGTCAGGAGCAGAGAGTGGCCTCGTTCAACACGGGGGAAATGTAGCAGAAGCGATGCCCTTAGGCTGGAGAGGCGAGTAACAGGCTGTGCCCTGCTGGACACCGTGTCAAACCGGTAATCGGCGTCTAGATGTTTTTGAGAGGAGACACTGCCAGCCCAGTGCAACGTGTGTGTGACATCTCCCCCTCCCTTCGTGTTTCCTCTCCTTCCCCGTCCTCCCCGTCCCGGCGCGATGCTGCGGCGGCCGTCCTGGGAAGGGGCTGGCGAGGAGGCGAGGGGCCTGCGGAGCACCAAAGGCTCTGGGCCCGCTTAGAAATTCAGAGGGAAAAGCAATAAGGCCAGTTTTCTGCATGGATAAACCCATCACGGAAGAGGCAGCTTTAGCCTGCTTATGTAACGCTGAGAATAAAGGGATCCTGGCTGGGGTCTCGTGGCTCTGCAGCGCAGGCTCACCTGGCAGGTGCCTTGCTCCCTCTCTTCCTCCAGCCCCTCCTGCCCTCAAGCACTGGTGTTTGTGCTGTTCTGGTGCGGCTGGATTGTGGCGACTGGCATTTCTCCCCTTTGCTGTCTTCCCACTCCTGCCGAGAGCAGGTCTTTGCAAGAAACTGTCCCAAAGTGCAGCCTTCCAAACCTTTTTGCCAGTCAGACCAGCTGAGTGACTGGTGTGGGCGAGCTTTCAGCTGCTCTGCTGCTGTGTCCACCCTTAGCATCTGCTTAGCATCGTACTGGAGATGCTTCAGAGCCCCTTCTGCAGATGAGGGAGCCAGGGACACAGGTCTGACTAGGTGCAGAGCTGCTGAGGAGGTTTTTTTTTTTTTTTTCTTTTTTTTTTTTTTTTTTTTCTTGTTTCTGTTTTGCCACTCTGGCTAGACTTTTAATCGTCTTCTTTGGTTTTCCCCTGCTCACACCCCTGCTCCCCCATATCGACCACAGGAACAGAGGGATGAGGACTCGCCTGGGCTGCCTGTCTCACAAATCAGACTCATATAATGATTTCACAGCTATTCTTCCGGACAAGCCCAACCGGGCTTTGAAGTGAGTATAGCTGCAGCATCCCACCCCATCCCCACTTCTGTCCTTCCCCTCCCTGCCCGCCACCCCCTCTAGTACCACCCGCCTTTCACTGTACGCTGTATGAGCTTTGCATAGTTCTTTTTAGCCACAAGGAAGGGAGGAAAACACAAAAACCTGATAGAGCAGAAATGATATTGGAAAATGCCTAAATCAGTGATACAAGCTCTTCATTAAGACAGGACATGCACACTGTCCCAGCTGCTGTCCATGGGATGTATCTGCAGATGTTTGAGCACATAAGATATCCCTCTGTCATCGCAAATCAAAGTCTGAGCAGTTGACTTTGCACATGAGGTGAGCAGCAATTTCAGGTCACAGTCCTCCTTGGCGAAGTCTTGTTATTAAACACTACCAAAATGTCCTGAATCAGTTTGCACAGCACTTAAAGCAGGTACTTCAGACAATCCAGAGCCCTGAGTGGGATGTGATTCGTCTGATCACAAGTCACTGCTTACATCTGAGCTAAGAGTCTAACCTTCCCCATGAAGCCAGGAGAGAGAAACAAACACTGCTGCAGGTGTGGGTTTCATTTCACTTAACTTCTGACATTTACAATGTAAATGTCTACATCTGAACTTGTTCCCTGGGCCTCTGCTTAGAGTCGATGAGGAAAAATCGGTCCCTTTTTGGGCATGATTCATTGGGCTTATTTTAGCCACCTACCTGAAGAGGAGATGGAGAGAACCCTGCGAGTCCCATGGCATCTCCCTGCTGACTCTGAAGGGAACCCAGGGTGACTTGCTCACTTGGAGACCTCTACATGGTAGATGGCCAAAGTTTGGTGAGAACTCCAGCCTTCTTTGGTGTCCTTGTCAAGCAGCTCTGGAGGGGACCAGCAGCCCTGGGTTGTCTGTAATTTGCCCCTTCCTTTCTTTCAGAAGACTGTCAACAGAAGAAGCATCAAGATGGGCAGACTCCTTTGATGTCCTTTTATCCCATAAATGTGAGTAGAGATCAAATTCTATCAATCCTCCCCCTCCCCATGTCTCCCTGTACCCCAGATACTGTTTATAACTGAGGCAAATTACGCACTGCTGGCACAGAAGCAGTCACGGTAACTCATGGGCAGGATTTCTCCTCTGGTGAGAAGGTGAGGGAGTGCGTTTCTGTGGGTTCCCTTCCTGAATTTGCTCTTCACTGCCTGTGCGCTCACAGCTGATGAAGCCAGCAGCCCCAGCTCCAGCTTTCTCCAGTTCCTCTGGAGGCAGGGCTCCAAGGCGGTGGCTGTGCGCACCTTCCTTGGCAGGTACACCTGGGTTCAGCCTTTCTGCACGAGCAGTGATGGGTTCTCAGCTCACTAAAGCTCCCCAGGATCCGTGGCACCATCTAGCTTCTCTCTGCCTCCAGCTGCTTTGCAGCTGCACAGCGTTGAGGTGCAGCCTGTGCCAGGACTGCTGGGCACAGCACTGCACTGTAGGAAGCAGTGGAGGGCTTCCCCCGAGACCCCACTCACTGCCACTGCTCGTTAGCACTTCACCGCAGGGCTATTTAATATTTTATCTTCACCTAAGTGGCGAGAAGACCGTAACATCCCATTCCTATTGATGTGAGCGCCTTGCAGAATATTCTAATGCAAGTCAACACAGCTGAAATTCTCAGAGCCATCTCCTGATTTTTTTTTGACTGATTACTCTCATCGATTTTAGGGGAAAATCTAGTATGTAGCTCAGTAACCTTAAACACCTCGCTCTGTAGCAGTCCTTACTGGAGAAATCACGCATGGTAGCACTTAACTGGATCTAATTTATAGCTACTGAACCAAACCTGAAAGTTTCACATCAAGGAACGTTATGCAAACATATAATCAGCACACCTCACTCCATTCAATAGATCAATCATATCAGTTCTGTTCAGAATATATTATTCTGTTATTCTGCTTCACCGACACATTCATGCTGACAAATTGTAAACAAGGCTGCGAAGTTCACAGTATAGGCTCATTAAGGTGTTTGTATTCGAGAATAAAACGAGCAAATCGAGGTTGGGGAGAAGTCAGTGTGGGTGGTGAACTATTTTATTGCAATATGGAAATATCTGACTTTCTTCGTGGTTCAGGTTTTGTGGGACTTGCATTTTAAAATATCAGTGTAGAATCATATTGTTTTCAAAGAAGTGCAGTTCTTCTGGATTTCTGCGAAGATGACAACAGTTTTGGCAGAGAATTACGTGACAACTTTAAACAAGCTGGCTGTCCAAGGCAGAAAAAGCAATATATAATTTTAGCAGCAGTATCTTGTTGAGATCATTGCTCTTGCAGCCGGTAGGAAAAAAAAAAAAAAAAAAAAAAAAAGATGTAGCTGGGTATGGCTAAGAGGGAACATTTCTTTTGTCAAAATTCAAAACAAGAAGGGAAAAATGCACAAAAGAGTCATGGGTGCCTGGAGGATGGGAAGTGGAAGAGGACAGGATATTCACATCAGTGGTACAGTTCTGTCTTTAAAATCAAGCCCTTGTTCCTGGTTCAACAGTATTAAGGTCAGAATTTTCTTACTTAGATACAGAGTATAACAAAAGTGCTTCGATTACAAAAGCCAGCGAAGTCTCACTCTCTGTACTGAAGTTATATACAGATTGTTCCCTCTTCAGCTGAGTGCTGGGAATGCTAAATCAAACCTTAGTTCGATTACTTCATCCAACAGCATCCATAAGAATATAATATTAATAAATTAGGAAGGATTCTGGTATTTCATTTATCACTCTATAAGGCTGTCTCTAAAATGGGAAGTAATTCTGGGAACTCTTTGACACCTAGTGAAAAATGTATAGTTCCTAATAGCAACGGAAGGTGATTTTTAAAATTTAAATTGAGCTGCTTTTTTCTTCTCAGCAGTCACGTTGACATTGCCTGGTGATTAGTGACAAAAAATTGTTGTTTAATAAACCACTTTCTAAAAAAATATATCACATCAGCTCTGACCTGAAGCTTCTGGAATAGCTAGTCTGCAGACAAAGCCTGCGTTTGGTTATAAGGATGCAAAGACAGAAAGCTCTGTTTAAACACAAGTGTTATTTTAATTACACTGGTTTAAAGGAGAGAAGATACGCATCATATGTGCTTAGAAGGAATTGTAAAATCATTGTTTTCGCTTATGTATACTTGCATCCAAAGCACAGAATTGTTAGATTGTTATGAAAATAAACCAGCTGCATTTATGCTATTAGAAGCATGCTAGTAAACATCAGCTGATGTTAGAGAGGGTAAGGGACTCTTGTGCTGTGTCAGACCAAAATTTCAGAGTAAGAAAAGCAGTGCCCCTCCTGCCTGCATCTGTCTGTAGTACAGCTGCCAGCTCCTGTCCTATTTCTAGTGCCAGGAGAAAGACAGAACTGTATCAGTCTAATTTCACTATGACTGCCCAGGTGAAAAATATTAGCCAGGGAAAATTCCAATTCATGCTTCAGGGCATGGGCTAAGCACCAGCTGGGCTCACGGAGAATTTCCCCTGTGGTTTCTAGCGTTAGCAGGTAGACCGCTTCTGCTTGACACATCTGTCATGAATTCTTTCTTCACTAGATGGACAGTTTGTCTATTTTGGAAGGGAGATTGTGATGCTGATTTCAGGGAATTGAGTGGTGCTTTCCTTCACAGTCAGACGTTACAGCGGTTTGGGGTTCTTTCCAATCATCCCATTCTTTCAGGAAAATCAGTGCACAAGTAGGACTTGGGAGCTGGGTATAGCAGCCATATGAGAGGGACAGACAACTTTTTCTCTTTCACTTCCCATTTTCCTGAATCTCCGAAAGGTCTTCAAGTGGAAGTGGTCTGAACAGGTATTATGCATTACACAAACTCTGTGGAGAATGTTATGCTTATTTTTGTCAAATATTCCTTAAGTGTGATGGCCCTTTGGCGCCCCTTCCACTGTTCCCCCATTGTTTTACTGAATGAACTCTGGAGATACTGTTTGATCCTGATCCTTTATGTCAGTACCTTGAGTGGAGTATTGAAAAGCCCTGGATCTTGAAGCCAGTACATGTTTCCAGAGATTCCCAGGCTGGGTAGTGCTCTTTTTTGTAAAGAGAGTGGTCCGATTCAGATTGTTTAGTTCCCAGCACTTTAAAAATAATAATTGTATTGACATTGGCAAGAGATTGCAGGTAGGGAAGGTGGTGCAATTTAGGCTCTCCCAGTCACACCCTCACCTTCCTTTTGCTCTGGCATTGGGACTTCAGCATCGCTCAGCCTTGCCCTGTTAGAGTGCCAGTTCCAAACTGTAGGATACAGCACAGCTCAGCTTCACTGGCAGCCCCAAGACAAGTAGGTCAGTGCAATGATATCTGACTCGCTCTTGCTAATGGGTGAAGCAAATCAACTTGAAACTGTAGGGTCAGCCAGTCAATCCCCTTTCTTTCTAGAGCAGGAGCCTTGTCTGAGCTCGTTGCAAGAAACCTATCTCCAAGCACAGCGGTGTTCCCTGGAGTCAGGGCTTGTGAGCATGGCAGGCAGCAGGAGAGGAGTTTGATCTTGCTTTGCAGCTGGGTTTTGAGCAAGTGAGAGGCAGGGCTGCATGTAGCATGCTTCCTTGGGTGCTAAGGGGCAAAAGCAGAGGTTTTAACATGCTAGATTTTGGGATTTTTTCCCCTTTTGTGCCAGTGTTGGATTAGTGATGGCTCCCAGGGAACCGGAGCTTTACGTGGTCCGCAGGGTGTGCGTATGTGTGTGGGTAACGGAGGAGTAATCCCCCTGCTGTACCCGTGCCCAGGAGGTACAGTCTGGTCAGCCAGATGGAGATTCCTTTTGACAGGCTGCCGGAGGGAGATCCAAGCAATGGCATGTCTCATTCTGCATCCCTCGCGGGGCTGGACACATGGCCTGTCATTTGTCCAGAATCCGGCAGGACAGTCTGTCCTCAACCCTTAGTCAGTTTCCAGCGAAGCATCTGACATGGAAAACCTTTGCGCTGAATTTCCATTTTTATCTCAAGGATGACTTTTTTTTGCCATCTACAATTTTTATTTTTTTTTTGTGATCTCTGTGCTCTTCTGCCCAAATTTTATTGTCCTCCTCCTCCTCCTGTTGTCTATACGTTGCTGCTCTTCCCACACAGCATAGGAATATCCCTTCCTACTCCCAGTTCTTTCTAAGCCAGAACAGCATTAGCATTAGCATTGTGCTAGTGACAGGCAGCTAACATTCACCGAAGCAATGCTAAGCAGCAGGGAGAGCACGTACATATGCTCTGCAGAACATTGTGGCCCTGTCTCTTCAGCCCTGGACCCAAAATATTGCACAGAGCTAATCCATCCATCTACCAGCCATAAGGACTCTCTCTTTATTTCCTACATGATGTGCTGATGGCCCTGATGGTGTGAAATGCATGCATTAAATAAATGATTGTTGATAGCTTTTTTTACTCTGACAGTGGCTAGATCCTTGGTTATTAAACTGTCTGCCTGAATGATTTAAGCTATTAATCTCAGCTCTTCCTCATGTTGCTGACGCCTGATTTAGTTAAGACTTGTACTGTATTTTTTGCAAGCCGGTTAAGTCCCTTCCTCCACGTCTTGTCTTTCTGTAAAGAAACCACTCTCCACAGCCCAAAGGATAATGTCTGAGTGGGGTTTCAGGAACATCTGAGACCTCATGTAGTTGTTGATCTGCCTGGTAGTTCCCCTCTAAATCACAAATTTATTTTTATCTGCTCTAGAGAGCAGAGCCTGGTCCTTTTAAGGCTATTCACACTGCAAAACTCTAAAGCAAATGTTCTTCTGCTCCTCCTTCTGACTCCTGACAGCCAGGTGGAAGAGCTCTATTTCTTTGCCATCATCCTATCTGCCCTGCTGAAAGCAATAAAATCCGTAGGCTTTAAGCAAGACTCACCACTCTTTTGAGTCAAATTCCTGAGTAAGTATCCAACAGCTGTATTGGAAGGCTGTACATTTACACCACGGTGTCTGTTTCTTGAGCAGCCATGCCTTTCAGCTGCGTGTTTTGGGGATATCCCACGAGATCTCTAAAGATACCATAGAATTGTTGGTGAGGGATGGATGCTTCCTTGGCAGTCTTCATGTACAGGACATAAAAGTCAACATCCAGGTCACATTCCAGCTCAGGTGGTGCCGGTCCCCTACCTTGTTGCCCTCCTGCCCTTTCCATTAGATCTGTCCTTGTTCCACGATAAACTCGTGGGCAGCCTGGCAGCGATTTACTGCTGTGCGGTCATCTGGGCTTCCATCGCCGAGGCTGAACTCTGACTGCCAGCCCCAGCTGTAAGTGCTGGCAGAGAGTCAAAGGCTAAGGGCGAATCTGCGGAGAGCGAGGCAGCCTGGAGTTGAGGATGACCTCTCCTGCATCCAGGGCCTCCTCTGCAAGGTCCTCCCAGGTCTGGCTTGATCCTTTCCAGCTCCCCTTGGGCTGTGAGGAGGAGATGACAGAAATATATATATAAAAAAGTGGAGAACAGCCAGATACAATTATTTATATAGTGTCTGTCTAAACTTACTTCGAGATAAAAAGGAGCTGATTGACATGAGAGCGGGAGGCAGAGCATGTGGAAACCTCCTGGTCCCAGCTGCCGCGGCTGCTCTCTGGGGCAGGGCTGAAGCAAAGGCCTTTCTCATCTCATCAATCACGAAGTCCACTTGTTTTAGCAGATATTACATTCTGCAGATATTATATTTGCCATGCACAGCTGCTATTTTTGGCAAGTGATCCTCTGTCAGTGCCGGGGCTCTGGGGCTGTTGGAGAGGAAAGGCGATGGGGGAAGATCAGGACAGGGAAGCAAGATCTCTGCAGGAACACACAGCTGAGGTTGTGTTGTCATAACAGTGTATTTGGGTGCCTGAATAATAAACACCAAACATCCTACGAGCCCGTGATATACCAAATGGCATACATCTCGGGGAACGGCTGCATTTTCCCTTCTGTGCTTTCTCCTTTCTGAAGTTGTCAGTCTGCTGTGATGTCCTCTCCGTTTCTTCTCGTAAGGGCTCCCTGCTCTCTTCTCAAGTCATCCGCAAAATCCATATGAATTTTGTCGATGTTAAATAGGGAGGGGATGTATGCTTTGAAACATCCTTGTGTCTCCTGGGTTCCTGTTCCCTGAAGGAAACAAGCCCTAAAACATTCCTCTCTTGTGCCATGTTTATCCACCCATGCAGATGCTCCGAGCAGCTGGAGGCAGCGTGATTCTGACAGGCACTCGGCTCCTGGAGATGCCTCTGGAGCTCTGTTCTGCAGACTTCTCGAGGGCTAATGTTGCCTTATTCCCCCAGTCTTGAACCCACAACTTGCGCTGTTAGCTGCTCTGCAGTGCTCTTGGGCAAGAGCCCTGGCTTTGCCCACAGTAACAATCCAAAACCCCGATCATCTCTTTCTACAAGTGCATTAACCAAGGGGCACCAGGATGAATTGCTGCGATACTGCCATTCTTTCATTCCTTGCCCTCCTGGGGCTGACAGAAGGAAACCAGGGTAGCTGAGATGGAAACATTCCTCTTTTAGCTGCTGGTTGCTGTGCCATGACAGCTCTTTGCAGTGCAGAGTGCTGATGGAGCAGTTAGCATTGCCAAGCCCGACAGTGAAGGAGCTTTGAGAAGCCTGGAGTTTGGTCCTACCTGGCCTAATATCTTGTCTGTCGTTCCCTTTGAGAGCCAGGGCAGCCAGGAGGAGTTCAAGTCCTACAAACCCTTTGTCCATCTCTGCTGTGCACTTGCACATTCTTTCATTGAGTCTGCCCTTGCCGAGTGCATTCCCAGTTCTGTCAGTATTTTTAGGTGCTTACTTGGAAGTAAGTAGCTAATGCCGACTGGGGAGGTTTCCAGTTATGAGCTACAAACGCTGAGACCCTATAGAAAGAGAGCGGGAAAAGTTAGAAACATGTTACTGGAAGAAGTAAAATTAGGAGCCAAATTTATCCCTAGGCTCAGGAAAGGAGAAAGGGCATGTGTAAAACCTTCAGCTATTTCAACTCTGCTTGTGCCATTCAGGGAAAGGAAATAAAAAACAATAGCTGTGTCCATAAATACACCCAGGCAGGGGTTTAAGAGCACACATTGCCTAATAAATCTTTCCATATTTCTAATCTGTCCCGGCTGACTCAGATTACATTACTGAAATGTCACAATTGCTAAGCATTAGCAAGTGATAAGAACACTTTTACCACTGACTAGACAAGTAGTAATTACGCTGTGTCCTCTCCTTTCCCCCTTTATTGCAGCTATAATAGTGAGGCTCTCCGAGATCCTTCCTCTGTATAAGTAATAACTAAAAATATGTCACAAGGCAGTAAAGCAAAGCGACAGAAAGCATAGGAGACAAGTCCACAGGCGCTATGTTTTATTAAAGGCTTTTCTTAATGACGGATAGGACGTTACGAAGTGGGACATTAATATGCACAAGACGGTGCAGCAAAGAGACTGTATCATTGGAGCCTGATGATTTCAAGGGGAATTTTTCAAAGGTTAGCTATCCCAGCCCCAAAGAAAACCTTTTAGTGTTAGCTGGCAAAAAGATATTTTTCAAAATAGCAGCAAAGAATTTGTGGTCTCATGGCAGCTCGTGAGACTCCAGCTGATGTAACCGTGTGAGTTATGAGTAAGTCCTGGGGTCACGGACTGTGCTGTCACATAGCCTGTGAGAAATATTGAATGGCCTCTAGTAGACGGATGGGGGGATGCTTGTTAGAGTGCTCCGTGCCCTCTTTCTCCTTCCATTGTAACTCCCTTGTTTCCCTTGCAGATGGGCTGGCCGCTTTCCGCGCTTTCCTGAAGACGGAGTTCAGCGAGGAAAACCTCGAGTTCTGGCTCGCCTGCGAGGACTTCAAGAAGACCCGCTCAGCGGCCAAACTGGCCTCCAAGGCCCAGCGGATCTTTGAGGAGTTCATCGACGTGCAGGCTCCTCGAGAGGTTGGTAGGCCAGCACCTCGGGCAGGCAGAGCATCCCTCTGGCACGGGGAACGGGGAGCTCTTCCTTCCTTCCTTCCTTGTTTCCTTCCTTCCTTCCCTGCTGGAGGTGATGGCCAGAATGCTTCCTGTTACGGGAACGCCATCCTGCCTGCTCCTGTTGCCTCTGCTTGCAGTGACTCATCCCCTGGTGAGGGTAACTACTTTGATGATACCAAATTAGTCATCGCCAGTGAGTTCACTGGCAACTGCAACCCACATTTCCGAACCTCCACCAGCTTCCTAGGAGTTTTGCACATTGAACCTCTCATTTACTATCAATCCCCAAACAGGCTATTGGGCTCATTTCTCCCAGGACATTTTGTCTAAGAGCATCCCACGAATGACTAACTTGTTGACTCTCCAGGGAAGAGTGTTTATCTGCTGACTAACTCCAAACTCAATTAGAGCTCCTGAAAGATGCGAGCAATAACTCGGAGGTGAACAAAAAAACGCAGTCACAACCTGAAGCCTGGAATTGTTCAAGTCCTCTTTAAAGTACTGACAGGCTGATGTGACTGTCAGATCCTGTGTCGTGATGTGCTGCTGTATTAATAATGCAACCAGGAGAGTGCTTGCTGCACCTGCTCTCCCACAGCAGTTCTCTTGCTTGATAGCACGGGTGCTTGTCACGATAAAGATAAAGCTCCCTGCGAGGGGATCCCTCTAAGAGGGCTGCCTCCACTCCATTGTGGAGCTAGCAAGGCTATTATTGTAACCACTGTGAAACACAAGGTGGTGTGGGCATCTCAGGGTGCACTTCAGTCCCTTGGTGCACACCTCGTGCTGATATTCATAAAAGCTGGGTGAGATCTTCAGGACCACAGGACTGACATTGCATTAGAAATACAAGTGCAGGTTGGATGGAGTCTTCCCTAAAATTTGTTCCCGTTGTCATGCTAGAATGTGAAATGACCTTTAAGTGACATCGGGAGCTGATCTCTATTGCTGTCGTCTGGGTTAAGGCAGACAGCTTTGCTTTCTAGACAGCTTGATGTTTGGACGCTGGGGTAATAATGACAAATAACATCTTAACAGACAGGTTTTCAACAATAACCCTAACAAACGCTAACTGTTTGCAAGGGAGAGAGAACAGGAAAACGCGTATTGTTGGCTTTGCAAACATGCTGCAGTCATAACATGAGGGCTGTTTGTTTTTTCAAGTCCCTACTGAAGATATGGTAACATCAAGCTGTTATGGGAAAAATCAAACAATTTATTCTATAACAACAGAGTTTAAAAACTTTTAATAAGAATATTCTGATAGTTTAAACCCAGCTAAAAGTTCACTCACCCTTCTATTGGGCGTGTAGTGAAGAAAAAGGGAATAGAGGAAACTTGGTCAACAGGAGAAGAGGTATGTTAAGCCAAGTTAGCATTTCTAGATTTGCTGCGTAAATCCATGCTTGAGAGCCTGAATAAAAGTAACTTGATTTCAGAAGTGCTCAGATAGTTATAAATCTAGTTCAACTTCTCCAAGTTTGGGACAGGATTTATAACTCTGGATTACTAAACCCCACAGAGTTAGGGGGACTGTTTCGGCACGGCTGAGAGTAGGTGCTTGGTCCTGTCGCTGAGATGAAACGTGCCATAATAAGCAAGCAAACCAGTCACTCAGTACCAAACTCTCTTCTGCTGTTTCTCCTAGGTGAACATAGACTTCCAGACTCGGGAGCTGACAAGAAGAAACATGCAGGAGCCCTCCCTCTCTTGCTTTGACCAAGCTCAGGGGAAGGTGCACAGCCTGATGGAAAAAGACTCTTATCCCAGGTTCCTGAGATCCAAAATTTACACAGACCTGCTATCTCAAACCCAGAGGAGGCTCAGCTAGAGCAGCGATGGGGCCCTCGGAAACCATGTGCTTCCTACAACAGCAACTACCCATGTCTAAATGTGAAACTTTCTCGGTGTTAAAAGCAGTGGGGATAAGAAAAGAGGGAGGAGAGGAAGAGGAGGCTTCCAGAGCGTGATCTGAATGTGGAATTAGGACTTTTTGAGTTTCTGTGCTTTTTTGGTTAGCAGTAGCATCTTGCAGTTGTTGCCTCTCTCTAGCACAAAACCCTATCCTCCCTAGTCATGGGGTCATCTGTTGGGAAGGCAGGTTTCCTTTAAAATTACCACGCTGGTTTGTCTGTAAATAATGTCTCTGCACCTTCCCATCCTTCCAGACACCTCACTGGCTCTCACCTATCCCTGTGTTTGGAAGGGCCCTAAGGGCAGCTCTGAAACTTGTGTAGCCAAGTACAATCCAAAGCACCGTCCCCCACACTGGCTGCTGGGGTCTGGATCCTGAGGCTGTGAGGAGGAAAAGAGGGTGGGAGTGAGAAGACAAAGGCACACAATTCTTGCTGCTTCCCGGAGAGGAAACCGTCAGCAAACTCAGCTCCCCTTCCCATTTTGGTTGCACACCTCGTGATACCACAGTAGCTGACCTGTCGCAGCCCCTCCATGCCCCTGACTGCTTTTCTTTCAGGGGTGGAGGCTAGATGCTATTTTTGTGTGACTGTCAAGGAGCTGAGTTTTTCTCATGAGGAAGGTAACCCCAAAAGCTCTCACTAGACCTGGTCTTCTAGTGCAAATGATTGTTTTTCAGTGATATTATTTATGTGTACTATAGTTCAGCCTCAGGACCCCTGTCACTGTTAGGCTTCATTGTGCTAGGCACCATACCAAAACTTCACACAACGAGGCTTTTGGCCACCAGAGACTTTAATGACCTCAGTGGCTTTTTGGGAACGAACTGCCAGCCATTGGGAAAGAGTTGGGAGAATGAATGTCCCATCTGCCCCGTGCTGAGGTGTAAGAAAAGCACAAGATCCATCTGCCGTGTCAGGTATCATTTCTCATCGTAGTACTTCACCAGCGCATGGCAGGGAGAGGTAATGTGAAAACACAACCTTCTTTTTGTTATTTACTGATTATTGACTGTTGTTGTTACCTACCGATTGTCCACTGTGGGTTCGATGCAATGTAAAGAAAATTCTAAAGGCACAGCCCCTGCTGCATGGTGCTTGCTTCAAAACAGGGTGCAGGACGAGTGTCTGGGCGTGAAGTAGTGTGCAAAGCGTGCTTTGGCCCTGTTCCCACAGCCTGGACAGCCAGCTGCAGGAGAGGGCTCTGTGCAGATGTCAGTTGTGTAACACCACCTCTGTACTGTAATTCTCACCATCTGAATTGCTGCAGCAGTCGCTTTCCCAGCTTATCAGCTGTCAGATTCTTGCGATATTTTCTAGAAGGGAAGTGGATTGTCTGAGGGTTTCAGTCTGCAGACCAGAGGTCTGTTTTCTTAGTTTTAGGAAGGTCTGGAAAGGGACCTCGTGGATCTTTTCCTTCTCTCCTTGGAGTCATCCACAGATCAGAGGTTGGTAAACCCATGTTCTGGTTTATTGTGGTGGGTAGGTTTGATAGATCAGATAGCTGCTGATAAAGATGTAAGTGTGATCTGGTGTAAACTGGGCAGTCTGAATTCTGAAGCTATGCATAATGTTTGGAACAAGATACAAAAGGTCTGCTTGGATATTAGAAGTTACTGTCCCTACGTTAGCAGGTTTTGAGGCTTTTTGTAAGGCTGCTGTGCAGGATGTTAGGATGGATGGGTGTAGGATTATGATAGGGGTGATGAGTGTGTTTGTTTTGTTCTGGAGATGCATTCCTGTGGTCTCTAAGACACTAAATCCTAAATACAGTACAAAAACAAAATTTCTGTTCAATGGGGAAACCCACTTTTCAGTACCTGTCTGGTCAACTCTAGAACTCTCCTGCAGTTTTGCAGGCAAAGATCATCTCAAGGTGGCATCCTGCGGCCACGCTTGGGCTTGGCAGCACAGCCCCTCGACTTTTGAAGCTGTTGATGAGATACATGAGGTCCGTAATGCAGGGGGACAGAGCCCAAAGCCTGAACATCACTGTGCAAATTTCACCGTGGCAGCTTCATGCAGACTTACTCGCTGCCTGTTTGAGAGTGGGAGCAAAGAGCGGTGTCTGCAGGGGAAGAAAGGTGGGCCCTGGATTTTGCTGTAATTCTGCTTTTAATGTACTTACTGCTTTTAAAGAGGAGGAAGATGGCCACATTAACTGCCCCAGGGTGCTTCTCTTAGAGCTCCTGGTACATCTGAATGGGCTTGGGTGATGCTGACCTCTAGTGCCAGCTGACACATCCCAGCGGAGGCTTTTCTGCACGCGCCCTGCAGGCACCCGTTGCTGAGAGGGTCACAGGGACAACCAGGAGATGAGGAAACAGCAGAACGAGATGATTTTGTCTAGGAATGAGGACAAGAAAAATAAAATCAGGAGTGAGGACAATTCCCAGGCTTCCCTGATGGCTACAAAGGCTGGTCCTGTTCAGAGTGTGACTCCAGAAAGCCCAGTAGGTAACATCTCCCGACAGGCTCCTCCAGTCGGTGTTGGCAGCCTTTTATTTTGTGCCAGAATTCATCAAAAAACTTCAAAGCAGCCAAAAGCTCTGTAAAAACCAAGCTCCTCTCTTCCCTCCATCTGTCTGGGGAACGGCTTTGAGCAGGCACATTCAGAGGTGGCACTGCTAACAGGAGCTGTATTCCTGCCGGCTGGTGTAGGGTGAGTGTTTTGCCCCTTAAATTGATGCCAGATAATATCCTCGACAGGAAACTGTCCTAGAGCATGCAGTGGAGCAAAGGTGTTGTCTGAAGCACATGAATCTATCACGGTTATTTTTGTTCCTGCTCTTACAGTTTGTCTCTCCTGCAGGAAAGCAGCCTAGTTATTTAAAGTAATTTATTATTGTTATTTTAATAAGAAATTGGCACCAGTTGCTTCTTTTATGTCAAATGTCAGGCTGAAGTGAATTAAAATAGGCAACTTATACCTCTTCCTCTTAAACCAGGGGCTGATGAAGGAAATAATGACAGAGCCAAAGCTTCGGAAAGCACTGAGTGATGACTAATCCCCATCGAGGACAAATATCCTACCTTTGATTCATCTCTTACTGATGTGAAAGGGATATTCAGAACATACAAACCCCATTTTCCCTCTCCACGAGCACACACCTCCAAAAACGTGCTCCCACTTCAAGTAATGTCAGAGAGTGCCAGCATATGAAGAGAGGGGAAAAAAAAAACGTTTCACTCAGCTCTTTTTATTCAGTGTTTCTGCTGGCGTGTATCCAGCCAGCTCTTAAGTCCTTTGACAGCAAAAGGGAAGAAGAATTTTACAAATTGCTTTTCCCTACTCCATAAACTCCAGCCGTCGTTCAGTCCAGAAGCAGATGCGGAACCCGAATCTGCTCTGAGTTTCCTTCTGCTTGGGCCAGGTTTGGGATTATTTCCGTCGTTTTATTGTACCTGTTAATGTACCGATGGGTCCCTGCCCTCCACGCTGGGAAAGCGTGAGGGGCAAAGTCCTGCTGGTGTGAGCACAGGAGGTGTGTGCGTACGTGGGTGTGGGTGCTGAGCGTGCATGTGAATTCACCTATACATTACTTCGTGTCTCCTACTAGAGAAGCTATTCTGAGACCTAGATGTGCATGTTAAAATAGGAGAATTAGGCATAAACGACATAAAACGAGATTTTTAGCGGTGTTGTGTTTGCCTCTTGTGTAAGTTCGACTAGTGATAGGAGATGTACAATTCTGCTAGGCTTCCAATTACCCGTAAGAGCACATGTATCCAACTGAACTGAATGTTCACCGATAGACACAAAACCAAAATGTTTACAGCATTCAGAGCAATAGCAAAGCATACCTCATGCCAGTCCTGGAGTGCCTCTCACTTGTCCCTGCAAACTCTCCCTCACCGTGGGCCTCCTTCTCCCTCCAAACCCCTCTCTCCTTCTCAGCCCTGTCCCTGTGGACGTCCCTCCTCTTCCTCATCTTCACCTCCCTGAAGCACTCCTGTCCACGCCAGCCTTCCCCTCCACCAGCACTGCTTGAGCCCTGGTCTCTCCCAGCCTCCTCTGCCCTCCTGGCTGCATGCCCTCTGTCCCCAGGCGTCTGTCTGTCCTCCTTTTCCTTTTCCTTTTTTCCTTTTCCTTTTTTCCTTTTCCTATTCTTGTCTTGCCATCTCCCTCCTACACACCTCCTACTGTTGCTCCTAGCAGCTGTTCCTTGCCCATTATATAAGGAGAAACCGCTTCACCTAATTTATTCACCATCTTTCCTTCCTGGGGCTGCTGCAGTTGTCTTGTTCCTTGGTACTGTGTTTTCTCTGGCACCGAAGCGTTTTATCACAGAGCTGGAATTAATGTCAGACCAGAGAGTGCTTTTCTCTACCGTGCACCCCTTGGGCTTTGCAGAGGCTCGGCTTGTCCCAGTGTCGTGTCTTTGTCCTCCATTCGTGCTCCACGTGCTGTGCTTGCAGCAGGGGCTGGCTAGGTGAGACGGCAGCTGTGCTCCGCGCGCTCGGGCACAGGCGGAGCTGCCTCGGCAGGGTCGCAGCTGTGCTTCCTTTTCGCTTCCTGATTAAAGAAAAAGTAGAGTAAATAAAGCTGTGCACCTTGTATTTGCTTAGTGAAGTCGGTCGTTTTGCTCTGTGTTTCCTCTTGGTTTTACTGGAAGGCTGCATCTGGGATTTGATGCCCCGGTAAGCTCAAGTGGAGTTCAGGGAGCTGAGCGCATGGGAAGGAGGTGGCAAAAGGGGGTGAGCTTAGTACTGAAAAAAAAACAAAAGAAAACAAAACATTTCTGGCAAAAAAGCACAGGAAAAGGACTGGGGGGAAGGAGGCTTTTTGGGGTGTTTATGCAGCCCTCTGTGGGATGCTGGTGATGAAAGGGCAGGGTACAAGCATGCCCTGGGGTGGATCCCCCTTAAACTCCGTGACCGAAGTATCTCATCCTCGCATAACCTCTCATTTCCTTCCTCTGCAAGCAAAATGAATGAGACACACAGAGTTCAGATGTTTCTCCAAGCTCTCTGGCACCTCCATCTCCTGTGGGATGGCAGGAAGGGGCCTTGAGGACCTGGTACTCGGTCCCGAGTAAGGTGCAGTTCAAGATGTATTTGTTCCCAAGAAACGTGACCGTGGGTGGCTCAGAGGAGAGGTAGGAGGGAGTGAGCGCACGGGGTGAAGTCAGAACTGAGCCACCAGGTACCTGGGTAGAAGACCAGCTCTTGGAAGATGTCCCCTATGCCACGTTTTTATTTTAATAGTTTAAAAATTATTCAAAGTCCTGATGCTGCTGCCCCCGTGGTGTCTGGGTGCTGCTGGTGCCGCAAGATAACTGGAGCAGTTTGGGCAGGACGCGCAGGTGGTTCAGTCTGATTCCTTCCCTTGGGGAGGGCATGGGCTCGGCTTCACTTTGCCTTCCCTTCCTCATTAGCTGCTCGTTTGCTAGGCTCCCCTTCCCCTAACGAGGCTGGAGAAGCTCCTCAGCCACATCAGCTGCTGGCCGGGCGATGCCACCCCCCTGGTCCCATCCCCGCCGTGTAAAGTGTCGCTCACCTGCGCTGTATCGAGACCGCAAGGACGCAAAATAAACAGCCTGAGAAGCACCCAGCTCGTGCCTGTATCTCCGGGAAAGCCCTTGATCCTTCATGGGGAGGGAAGTGGGCATGGGTTGTACCCAGGGACAGAGGGCTGCCTCCTAAAACAACTGCTGGGAAAGGCTGAAGGAGCTGCGGGAAGGCAGCCTGGAGAGCGGTGACTGGGGAGGGATGAGTGGGAAGGGGTTCCTCAGGGCTGGAGCTGGGGGAACCCTTTCCCCCCCAAGGAAAGGCTTACGTGGGAAGGGCTGGGGCCACGCAGAGCATCCCTCAGGTCTGGCAAGTGGGAGCAGGCAGCGACCTGGCCCCGGTGCCCTCCTCCTGGCCCAAAGGTGAGTGTTCGGTACACGGCCCCCGCAGGATCGCTTCTGCTTTAAAAAAAGAAACCTAAATGAGCTTGTTTTTCTCTGGGAATTGCTGCAGTGAAATTTATCAGTCCCTCTGTCTTCTTCCTATCTCCCCCCCTCCCTTCTTTTTTGCCCTAATTCTCTTCTTTTATTGTTTTTCCTTTTTATCTGCAGCTTCTTTCCCTCTAAGCCTGTCTCTGAGCCAAAACAATTTGCATGCATCCAAGGGGAGAATCTGCCATTAGTGCTGCTCTGTCTCTCCTCTCAGGATATATTTAGCTATCGCCTTTTTTTATTTTATTTTTTTTCCTTGCTCTTCAGTGGCTTTAAAGAGCAGGTGCTGGGAACGGAAAGAGAAAATTAAAAATACCTGCTGTCAGATACCTCGCCCTGCGCAGATGCGCTCCGGCGCTTCAGAAAGCGAGCGTGTGAGCAGAGTGGGTAACAGCTGCCCCTTGAAAACCTCATTTGTAATTCTAATTTATTATTATTATTTTTTAATTTCCATCATCTCTTTCCGCACTGCTACAGATTTCCAGAGCAGCTATTTCCTCTGGTGCTCCGTGCGAGGGTGGCCTGCTCTTTTGCCGGGAATCCAGCCAGCGCCCTGGGACCGGGGCAGGGGCTTGCTGTCGGGGGGGTGAGGGATGCACCCTCTTCCTCTCCTCTTGCTCCCCTGCCTCCCTTCCCACCCCGTGCTGCATCCTCCCCTTTATCCCATCACGCCGTATAAATTTGCAGTTCCTCTTCTGCCTCTCTCCTTCCCCTCTGCTCTCGGTCTCCCACGCCCAAGATCTGCTCCCAATTTACGGGGGCTCCTCTTCCTTCTCTCATGTCTTTTCTGGAAGAAAAAAAATATCTCTGCAGGTAAATGGGGGTGGGGAGAGGCTCTTAGAGCAGAGCTGAGCTCGGTGCAGCCCGCACCAAAAGGTGGCTGGGCTCCTGCTCCTCCTGTGAGTGTTTCCTCCCCAAACTAACTGATGTGCTGAAATGAGGGCACCAGAAATCCCCGCAGCAGCTTGCTTCACAGGGCTTTTGGGGCCCTTTTTATGTGGTGCTGGGGATAAAAACTTTATTTTCCTCTTTTTGCATCCCTAAACAAGAAATGACAGAGGTGACAAGCTTCTGTGCTTCTGTAAAGCCAGCAGCTCCATCTCTGCAAGCGCTGGGGCTGCGGACGCCACTCTCCCATTGCTGGAGCCTCCAGCACCCACACCTGCGCATCCCACCTTCTCCCAAGCACCCAGGGCACCCATCTGGGGCTGCCAGGACCTCCCTGGAGGGACCAAACCCCACGAGGACGGTGCTGGCGATGCGAGGGGCCAGGTTGGTCCATGGGTGGGTGGTGGGCTTCGTGCCGGCGGTGCCGCAGCACACGTACGGGAAGGGAGCACGGCCCGGGCGTTGCGACATGGCCAGGTTTTGGTGTTCCAAAACAAGGGCTGATAACGCAGACACCGGGCTGGAGCCACAGGAGGCCGCTCAGCTAAATGAGACAGGAAGCACGTAATTAAATTAGATACAGAGCAGAATGAAGACATCTGAGTACACATACGTAGCTGGGCTCAGAGGCTCTTGCATAACCCAAACGAAGAGCTCTGCATTAGAAAATATTGCAATGACCATGTCCTATGCTGGAGAGCTGCCCACCCTCAAACCTCCCTCACCCCTTGAAGGGGAGAGTGAAAGAACTGTGAGAGTGAAAAAACCTGGCCTTGATGGGGAGGACTCTGCTGGAACAGCCCGATCCCACCACCCCACTGCCTGGGTGCAGTTTCCTACAGCTTTGTGCATCCTCTGGCCTTTGGTTGAATCTTTTCCTTTAGGTTTAAAAAGATTTTATCACCCGGATTATTGATAGCCAGGGATGAGTGGGGAGGAAGGAAAGGGATGAGGAGTTCCCATTGTTTCCATCCTCTCTCCTGCTTTTAGTCCCTTCCTACTCTTCCCACCCCTGGTTCCCAGTAGGATGCCCCTTTATCAGGTGTTTCCTCACACTTTATTCAGTCTTCCACTGATGCACTCCCCTTCCCCTTCTCCTACCACAGCCCCAGCAAAATATTTATGACGAAGACACACCAGCAAACGTCAGCCCTCGTTTACCCAGCTGCAGACGTGGCAGGAACATCGCTCCCCTCCGCTCTGCTCGCAGCGCCTCGGCTGCAGCGGGGTGCTTGGGGAGCTGCAGTGGGGTCTGCAGAGCGTGCCAGGGCCCCTCGTCCTCATTGCCAGCCCTGGGGGACCCTCCTGCTGCAGTGATGCCAGCCTTGGCCACGCGGTGCGGAAGGGTTTGAAGTCACCAGCCCTCGGGATTGCGCTGACGAATCGCCCTCACCGTCCCCGGCTGCGTGCCCGCGGTTACTCAGCAGGCTCCGCACGTCGGTGGAAGCGAGCCTGTTTTTTCCTCTGATCGAGGAAGCCGTTCTGACTGCGATGCTCAAGGACGAGCCTCCCGCCCCCCCTCCCTGTGCACCTACCCAAGCCGTTATCTTCTGCGCTGGCTGCTGGAGCAGCTCGTGGTTGGCTGGAGCACGGCGTGGTGCTGGGTACCCTCCCAGCCCTCCCACCCCATATAAACACGGCTCCTCGCTGCTTCTCCAGCACACGGCAGGCAGCAGCGGCGGTGGTGCAGGTGCTGCCCCAGGGAGCCGATGAGCTGCTGGATGCCTCGGTGCCCAGCTCTCAGCATGTGCCGAGGGGTAGCCGCGCTTCCCATCACTTGCCTGGAAAGGTAAGGGGCTTTGCCACGCCGCAGGGCTGGGAAGCAGAGGAGGAGCTGGAAAAAGATGATCCTAACGTCAGAGCAGCTGGGTCTGCTGTGGTGGTGTTTTGCTAGAGATCCGGGTGCAGCCTGCAGAGAAGCACGCAGCCGGGGAAGGCAGCGTGATGTGCTGTGGCCGCAGCTGTGAGGCTCCCCTGGAGGGGACGCAGAAGCCAAAACGTGCAGAGGGGATGGAGGCCGGGCAGGGCTGCCCCGTGTCGCTGTGTGCAGGCGCACGAGGTTTGTTTTGCTGCCTCCGTCTTCGCAGAGCTCGCTCCAGGTTGGCAGCGGCAATATTTTTGTCGGCACTCAGTGACATCGCGCCAAACACGGCTACGAAGCCCCGCGCCGCTGCCTTGACATTTAAATGCTTATTTTTGTCTGGGTGCCTTGGGATGCCTGCAGGAGCTGCGGCACACAAATAGCAGCGGGGCCTGTGCGCTGCCTCGGGGCACCCAAGGGAGAGGAGCCGGGGAAGCAGCAGCTCCCACCCTATTGCCACAGAGATGCCCGGCAGGGATGTGTCTGGCTCCCAGGTGGCACAGGAGCTGTGCTGCCCCCGCTCTCTCTGGCTCTTGGAGGCGTGGGGCAGGTGGATGGTGCCACCACCACCTCCACAGCACGGCAGCAGGGCCGGTAGCACCCCCAAAACAGCTGGGGAGCAGCTGTAGCAGCAGCACAGCAGGGAGATGCTCCCCCTCTGCCGAGCTGAAAGTGACTGCTGTCATTTTCCCAGTGTGCTGAGAGCAGTGCTGCGTGGCTGGGAGGGCGGAGAAGGAGCCGGGTTTGTGGGTTTATGCTCCTGAGGGGGCTGCAGAGCCGGGGGGGGTACCAGGGCTGCAGCTCTGCCCCATGCATGCACCCAGCACTGCTGAGCCTGGTTGCCAGGGAGAGGAAAAAGCAATTTGGGGATCGTTTTATTGCACGCAGCAGAAGGTGAGAAAGGAGGTGAAGGAGCGAGAGGGGACGGTGGTGGCGGTCCCACATCCCCACATTCTCACCTCTCCCCTTCCTCCCTGCCAGAGCCAAGGAACTCAAGAGCCGCCTGGGGATCCTGCTCCACAAACCAGAGCTGGCACACCGCATCGGGGCGGCCGGCAAGCTGCAGCTGGGCTCCAGGCAGAGGTAAGGCAAGCTGGGGGCTCTCCTGGGGGCTGCTCTGCCCATCTGCGCAGCAGGGAGGATGCAGCGCAGCTCGTCCCCGCGGTCCCACCCCGGCAGGCAGTGGGGCGGATCGTGTCCCAGCTCCACCAGTTATAAAGCCAGACTGGGGGCTGATGCTCTGGCATTAGGTGGAGCGGGGACTCAGCATTGAGCAGGAAAAGCCAGAGGCTCCCACAGGCACTGGTTTCTCAAACCAGTGCCTGGGTCCCCCGGGGAATGCAGACAGCGCTGGGAAAAAAACACTAAATCTTGCTGCTGGAGGCAAGGCGCCTTCGTGCTGAGAGGCTCTGCTGGGCTGGCACCAGGGAAAAGGGCTCCTCTGAGCATCCCCTAAAGACTGCCTGGCCAAAGCTGTGCTATGGAGCTGAGGTCTGGGGAGCCGTCGGGGAAGGCAAAAGAAAGGGAAAAAGAGAAAGGAAAGAGGGCCCACAGGTAATGGATACTGGGGTCTCGCTGTGGTGTCCCGCCGGGTGCTGCTGCCTCCCTCCTTGCACTGTCTCATCATGAACTGCTTTAACGAAGCGCTCCCGTCCTTCGCCGGCAAGACGGCAAGCCTGACGTCCTTTGTCTTTTCCAGAGACTCCTCACGAGAGGTGCTCGAGTGGAGGGAATCCTTCGATCAGCTCCTGAAGAGTAAAAGTGAGTAGGATTTTTCTTTTCTCCCCTTGCTGAGAGCACGTAGGGCATATGCCTGGAGTCAGTGCGAGAGGAAATCTGGTCTCCTCCTCGAATTAGATATGTTAGAAATTCAGGAGGTGCCCTCCCTGCCCTGGCAGAGCTGACACTCAGCCAGACTTTACCCTTTCCTCCTGGCTGGGTGCTTTTTGGGGGGGCACGAGCGCTGTCCCACAGCTTCTTGGGCCAGGAGCAGCAGGGTGGGCATGGTGAGCTGGTGGCGTGTACCTTCTGGTGGGGTCACTGCGCCATCCCCAGCCATCCCCAGCACGCCTGCTGCTGGTGCAGCCACCTTCACGCAGGCTTTATTTGCTCGGAAAACATTGCTGCCCTCTGTCTGCCTGTCCTGTGCTTTGAGGGATGGCTCTTACATGGGGAGAGAGCATCCGGCTGCTTTCCTGAAGTGCACCATTTTCCCCTCCAAAATTCACTGTACATCTGGTGATGCACAGGGTTCCCATGAGGTGTTGTTGGTGGCCAGCAAGGGGACCAAATCTGAATACAATAGCAGTTGTCTACCTTAAAGTTATTCCACAGCAACAGACAGTCCTTCTGCAGTGCTAGTCAGAGGCTAGGAATATTTTCCCAGCGTTTATCACACACTGTGAAGGTTAGCAAGCATCTGCAGCTTTTTAATGCAATAGAGACACAGCTCTCCTGCTGCAGGCACTCTTCCATGCCCCACAGCAACTCGTTCCCCCCAAATCTCAGCTGAGAAATAAAAACACAGCCATCGCTGCTCGGTTCCTGCAGGCGTACTCATACCTCAGTGGATTTCTCCATCGGTAGAATTAGCTCTTTTCCGAAGCTGTAGAGAAAACACTCTGAAGACTCATTACAGAAAGGTCAGATAAATAAAACTTGTCTGTGGGAAAGGATTTTATTGGAGTCTCGAGGCCAATTAGCAGAGGCTCACAGGGTGGAATTTGTCCGGA